AAATACACTTTACAATCTCAGGAAAGCTCTGTGCTAAGAGGAAACCATTGGAATATTTTATAGTGATGCAGATCGAGTGAAAAGACTGTGAATAAATAAAAGGGAAGATAATTATTTGATGGAGTTCTCTTAGGATATGCCACAGCGGGGAATACTTACGGAGAATACATATTACTAGAGAGACACAGCTATTCAAGCATCAAACTAACCTATAAATTGTCACAGGAGAAAATTGGAGGAGAGGAATGGATGGGGTTTTGGGCACCGCTCTCATTATTAACGTCGGGTTTCTCTTTCTACCTTTCTCATCACAATTCCCCGTGCCCAAGGAGTCACAGTCTCTGGAAAAGGGAAGGCTGCGTCCAATAAATGTCTGTTAGGAATTACAGCCAAACTACTACAGTAACGAGATGGTGTCATTTATGTCCCTGCCATCTGTGCCCGTTCCCTGCACGCTGCACACACGGGCACACGTCCCATGCCCACCCAATATTGCAATACAAGGACTGCAGAAGGATGCGTGCCCAACCACCCCCTTCCTACCCAAGCCCAAAGCAATGATGGGTTCCTGGCTGCTGCCCAGCCAGGTGTCCCCCAGGGTGTGCAGGTCTCTCCATGCACTGCATTTCCCTTCTCCTAGCTGGTAACCAGCTACAAAAAAAAAAATAAAAAAAATCACAGCCTTCTCTGTGCCATGGCACCCCTTTGGTGTGCAGCTTCCCCCGCTGCCAGCCTTCCCACCCGAGGGTGCACCACGTGCACTTGGCAGCATCGCTCAGAGTCCTGCTCTGTCCCATCGTGGGTTTGCCTGGAGCCAGACTGCTTCCTACAGGCAGCACTGCAAAGAGCCCGCAGTCCCTCCACGCAGCGGCACGCGCCGCCGGGCTCCCTGCAGCCCCATTTATAGGCTCAGATCTCCGAGTTAATAATTAATGTAATCACCCAAGTGACTTTACTCACCGATATCCTTAATGGCCATTTGCAGCTTTAAATAAGCCGCAAAATCTGGATTGTAAAATGAAAAAAAAAAAAATAATAATTACAAGCAGTTGCAACGCATATCATACATTCACCTACCAGTTACTGAGCATTGATCCAGAGGGGCTCCAGAACCACAGCGGGGACACAGCACTGCCTTGTTATGGAGCCGGCCAGTCCCACCATAAATACGGCCGTGATAATCACAGGCAGGCTGGTAATTAATAAAACAGCCACTCTCCTTTTCACACGCTGAATTGGAGCCTTGTTGCAGCATGCGGACCCCAAACTTTGCTCATATACGTGCATTTATTTTCCTCGGGAGCAAAAAGATTTAAAGCCCCTGTTCTTGCAGGGGGGGAGACCTGACATTGCCTGGAGTACAAATGTGGCAGTGGAATTTCTAAGCGAGTTTAATGCATGTAACAGTAACACAGCAGGTGTTCATTAACCTTTCCCCTCCCAGACGAGTCACAAACTGAAAATATAATCCCTGTAGCATTGCTACTATGGGAAAATCCTAACTGGATGTCCAAAATACGATATTACTTCTCCAAAGGCTAACTCAGGAATCCTATAAAAACAGCACACACAAAATGGAAACCATGTAGATACATCACCATAGGTAACAGCAATTTGTTTTACACCTTATTAATTGCACATTGTCGTTCTGTTTTCCCTTTTTCTGAAGCATTTTGGTGCTTCACCTTTCCATCCATACCTTCTCATGTCTCTGGTCCTCTTTCCTGGTTGGAACAAACCCACTCACGAGGTTGTTTCAGGTGTGCTTGTGACAAACCCTGAACACTCCCAGGCTTCACAGGGCTTGGGGAAACCTTTGGATCTCCTATGGGAGAGGTGTGCTCGTACCACACACAGGCAGTCCAGTGCAATTAACAGAGAGCCTCATTATTTTAAGACAAGATTTGCCACTGCTTCCAAAACCCCAAGCAAGAGCAAAGTCAATGCAGAATGCAGGATATCTTTAAGGCTAGCTCAGACAATGAAATAAAGGCAGCCTGATCATGACAGGTCTCCCTCTCCTCTGCCAGAAGGGAATTGCTCCATCACCTGCACCCAGAATAGCACTTGGTATCCACTGCCATCATTAATTTATTCCCCGTGAATCCCTGCAAATTAGTGAGACCCCAGAGATGCACACAGCCCACCTGTTCTCATTGTCTGCATCCCCGCTCCTAGCTTTGACATTTGGAGGCTTGGTAGCAGATCTCAACACCGGCAAATGGGGCCATAAACCATCTGATAATGTGATACCTGCCAGCCCCAGCCCTCCCGCGTGGGGAAGCAGGGCCCAGGCAGCCAGCAGGCAGGGAGCACCGAGTCCAGGAGAGCTGATTTTAGCAATGCTACCCAGGGGGGGCTCAGGGGGTTACTTTGAGGTGGTTGTCTATGGGACAGCAGGAATTTCAAGCATAGCAAATCCCTGGAATTTTCACAGAAATAGGCAGTGCCTGAAGAGGGGCTGTAAGAAAGGACAGATATTTTAGCAGGGTCTGTTGTGATGGGACAAGGGAAAGCTGTTTCAAACTATAAGGGGAGGTTGAGGCTGGAGATGAGGAAGAAGGTTTGGCACTGAGGGCGGTGAGGCACTGGCACAGGTTGCCCAGAGGGGCGGTGGTGCCCCGTCCCTGCAGACAGCCAAGGTCAGGCTGGAGGGGCTGTGAGCACTGCTGGAGCTGTGGGTGTCCCTGTGCACTGCAGGGAGGCACCAGGCGGCCTTTGAGGCTCCCTTCCAACCCAAACCATTCCATGATTCCATAGTAGAAACCTCCACTTACTGTTCCTTCTACATCCTACAGTGACTCCACACCTTCAGTCCATAGGAAACTCAAACTCATTACTTGTATCCCTTCACTCGACCCTCACACACATCCAGGGAGCTGACAATGGTCAGACTCATTCCTAATCAAGCCAGAATAAAGAGCTTTTAAAAATAAATATCAACAGTACAGAGAACCTTCCAGCTAAGGGAACCTTTTGAGTAAGAGCAGTTACAGCTCAACTCCACTGACTGCAGCTGCTGTTGCCCTGTTGACTCCAGCACCGATTTGTGCCCACCAGGGATTGGACTCTAAGAATACACATTTTAATAAATGGTTCTGCAAGCATCAGCCCCCACACAGCACATTTTGCACCCACTCATCCCCCTGCTATCCAGTCAGGGGTAAACTGCCACTGTAACGAGCATTGCTTTGCTCTGCTGCCAGCAAGGAGATAGCAAGATGAGAAAGTGCTCCCAAGCCCTTCCCAGCTCATGTTCCTGACTGCCACGTCAAACCCAGCAGCTTTGTCTGCTGTGCAGATCTGTATCGACTTATTGTGCTGGGAGGAGGCAGGGGTGAATCCTGACAAACAAAGCGAAAGGACATGCCAAAACTTCCTAGAGAGGCTGTGCTGTGGAGCAGCACGCCCAAGTGTGGTTATGCCACTGATTCCAGCTCATTGAGGAGTTGGATAAATATTCCCACAGAGCTCAGTGTGCTTGGGCAGAGTGAACAATGCTGATGCTCAAGGTGATGCTGTGACATGGGGTTGGCAACGCAGCCCTATTTCATGAGCCATGCCTGGGACAGTGCTTGCTTTCCTTTGGCAGTTGTGAAGGATAATGCCTTTGGAGCTCACTTGTGCCTTATCTTCTGCTTTGTGCTGCATGAGATGCTGAGCAAGTTGTGCTTACACCACCCACTGCTAAGGGGGAAGCCATGAAGCTAGGGCTTCCCCAACCCAGACACAAGCACTGATCCGTATCTGCTGTGCCACACTGCAGCCAAGGAGAGAGCAGGACCGCAGCAACCACACAGCAGGTTCACATGGTTCTGCCTCCATGCCCAAATCCAGGCAGCCCAAAGCAACCCCAGCACTGAAATCCAGTGCTGCAAGCCTAAGTCCCAACAGCCTCCCAGACACCAGCTGCATTTGGGGCATTAATAAACCCAACCAAGCAACCTACAGCTGCCCAGCTCTCTGAGCTCTGCACTGCTGGGCCAAGCAGAGGCTGAGGTTTGATATGAATCACGCCGGGATTCCTCAGCAAAGCCCCATTAATGAAACTGCTCAGAGCCATTACAGTTCTTAGCAAGCACTGTAGAGATGAAAGCCTTATTTATGAGTAAGATATATCTGCAGAGGGAGCAATAAACCGCAAAGCAAAGTATGAAGGTTTGCAGCAAATGTAGTAAAGTTTTATACTCCTGGAAACTAGGAATAAAAGATAGAACCATTTAAAACAAAGTGGATGGAAAGGGTTTCCACAGGACTGTAAAACACTCCTACAATAGTTAATTGCAGCACAGAAACCTCAACCAGAAAGAGAGCTGTTTAAATCTGTCAATGAGTAAAGGAGGAAACAAGGGTGAGAGGTAACAAATGCACAGGGCAGGGTGAGTCTTGGGGTTGGGAACCACGTAGAGGGTGAGACCCAAACTTGTTGCCAATAGAACCACCAGCTTTTGTGTCTGCAACTCCAGTGATGCTTATGGGAGAAAGCTACAGAACTGCAGTAGCCCCTGTGTGTGTGAAAGCAGAATGGCAGGGGCTGTTTGGAAGCTTACATCTCAAAAAATATATACATTTTGTCTTTTAAAAATACAGCTGTCTCCTTTCCCCCTTCCCATATCATCAAATAACTCATTTTCAACAAATACTTGCTCCCCTCCTCTAAAATTATCTGAAACTGGAAACATTTGTTTCTGCAGCACTTGCCTTATGCATTTTCCTGCAAATATAACAGAGGAGGACATCTAATTTCATTCCACTTAAAAATTACGTAAAAAAAGAGAAGAGTGCTTCTACTTTAAGGCTCCCAGAACAAGCAGCATCCATGTTATCACCCAGTTATCAGCCCACACTGGAGGTGGGCATCCACTATTGCCATGCCCAGCAGGGATCCCTCTCTCTGACCCCCACTCAGGAACACTCCAATGGCAGCACAGAGAATGCAACTCCATAAAGATGCCATCCACACTCAGAAGCAGCTCTGTTCCACACAACACTGCACCTACCTGCTTCCTGAGGGCGAGGATCCATCTGCAAAGAGGAGGGGGCATCACAGGTGCGTTGTTGCAGGTTTGGCGTTGAAGGGTCTGGATCAGCCCCAGCAGCTGCTGAAGCTCAAGGCAATCCTCAGCTATAGCCTAGATCTGATCCGGCACTCTGCAGGCATAACACTGAGCTAGCTCAGTTCCAAGCTGGCTCTGACATCACAGCAGCAAGACCCAGGTAGAACCCAAACCACCAAACCCAGAGATACTACAGCACCCTGCTCCCCAAACACCCTTTATCACCTCCACAGTGCTGCCACACCCAAGGCTGCAGGTGCTCCTTTTGATGCTGATGAACCCAGGATAAAGCACAGCCCTGTCCTATCAGCCTTCTGTTTTTCCCCTCCTTATGCCATTTCTGCAGGAACTTTTTTTTTTTTTTTCTTTCCTTCTCAATTTTTCCTCCCTTTAGTGGCAGATATTGTGCATTATCTAGTAAAGTAACCAGAGAAACACATTCCACTCACCACAGCGTAAATATCGAAATGCTGTTTATATCAATCAGAGAAGCACTTAGGTAGAGATGACAATGGAGCCCACAGAGCCCTAATCACATACTTTGATTGAACTAAAAGTACCAGGGAAAATGGAAATCAGATGTCTAGCACTGAGATTTCAATAGAGACGGAAAGCAGGGAGGCAGGAACGCACAGGGAGGCTGCAGACAGTTGCACAGGAGCTGTGCTGGTGAAGGGCACCAGGAATGAGCCAAAGGAGCAGGAACCTGCCTCTGCCAATCACAATCTTTACAGATCTCAGCCCAATATCTTAAAAGATAATAAATCTAAACTCTGGGCAAGTTCACAAGCACGTAGACCTGGCTTTGTTCTCTGAGACCTGCAGCAAGCCTGGGGCTGGCAGGGCAACATTAGTGCTCATCTACATCCTCAGTGCTTTCCTTAGGGGCGCAGCCTGCAGCACCACTGAATTTTCATTTTCAGCATTAGATTTACTGCTGGCATCTTCCCTTTGGTGAGAGTGTTCCCCTTGCAGCCTGGCACACGTACCTGGGGGGATGAGGCAGGGCAGCTGCACCTTGGCATAGCGTGCAGCACTTTCAGTCTTTCCTTGAGCACCCAGAATTGAACAGGAGGCAGAAATCCTCTCCCTTTGGGAACCATTCCTGAGCCCAGGGCCAGGCAGAGGCTGGCTCTGCCCTGCAGCAGCTCAGCCTGAAGCCAGGCCCCAGGACAGCTGCTCTGGCACAGAAATGCTCTGAGCAGCCCCAGAGCAGCTTGGCAGAGCCTAGCTCATAGTGGGGACAAGTACATGTGAGCACCAAGCTAAAGTCTGTGTGCTATAAAAACATGCATATCTTTCTATTCCCACTTCAGATGGCAGGGAAACAACCTTGGTGTCACTGTGATTTATTCTAGTGCACCACAAGCCGTGTATGATGGGGGAACACTTACAGTGTGCTGCATGGGTACATCCCAGTGCAAAGAAACTCCAAGGTTCAGGAGGAGACCTTTCAGCCCTGGGCTCCAAGGAGACACGATGATGAGCAGCCCATTTAGTGCACTCATCATCCGAGCTGGCATTATTTTAACACTCATATCTTTGGCAGTTGGTTTCGCATCAGCAGCTCCGGCCATGCACCCGATATGAGAAGCAGGGTTTATGGAGCAAAGTCACCTCGGGATCCTTTAGCCTGAGGGTTCCCAGGTATGTCTGCATTGCAAAGCCGAACGCCGGCACGGTTTCCGATGGATGCGGCGCGGGGCGATGCTGACACCGCGCGGCCGCAACAGCGAACAGCGAGGAGTGCGGAGATGTGCGGCACCGGGTGCGGGAAGTGACGGCCCCGCGCTGCTCTACGGGGGGGTCGGGTTGGGTGTCAGGACCGATTTGTTCTCTGAAAGAGCTGTCGGGCGTTGAAACAGGCTGCCCAGGGAGAAAGTGGGGTCAACGTTCCTGGATGCGTTCGGGAAATATGGGGATGTGCCACGCAGGGCTGTGGTCAGTGAGCACAGTAGGGCTGGAGTTGGGGAGCTGAGAGGTGTTTTCCAACTTCATACATTGATTCTGAGAAGTGATTCCTCCTCCTTCCTATAGCTGAGAATACAGCACCCCTCTGCCAGGGCTTTGAATGAACCTAAAACTTCCTTATCACAGAATCACAGAATCACAGGGGCATCCACAACCTCTCTGGGTAGCTGTTCCAGCACCTCATCACTCTTATAGTAAAGAATTTCCCCCTGACATCCAACCTAAATCTTCCCTCCCACAACTTAAAACCATTTCCCCTTGTCCTGCTGTTATCTACCCTTTCAAAGAGTTGATTCCCCTCCTGTTTGTAGGCTCCCTTTAGGTACTGAAAGGCTGCAATGAGGTCACCCCGCAGCCTTCTTTTCTCCAGGCTTATCATCTTATATGACTTAGCTCTGCTATTAAGATATACTTGTATTGGATGCTCTAACACTGTTTACAAAGCTGTTGGAGTCAGCTATGCTGATTCACACTGTAATGCTTTTTTGCTGTCAATTACTGTAAAGCCATGGACATGCAACATGTTCCCAGGGATTGTCATTAATTGCAGTCATTTGTAAAGGGGACTGTGTGGCTCAGGGGCTGCTGATGAAGTTGCAACAGGAAGTGTGATGGAAGAAATAAAACAGTGGGGGAAAAAGAAAAAAATAGAGAGAGCAACAGAAAACACACAGTCATAGAATGGCCTGGGTTGAAAAGGACCACAATTATCATCCAGTTTCAACCCCCTGCTATATGCAGGGTCAACAACCACCAGACCAGGCTGCCCAGAGCCACATCCAGCCTGGCCTTGAATGCCTCCACACGTAGGGATATTGGTCATGGGGTTATATTGGTCATGAATGAGAGTGAAATGCAGCAAGTTTATTTGTTAGAGGGGAAAATTGGGTTGAGAAAGAGAAGCTATGAAAGTGATGCAGGTTCTGAGAATGTTCTCACTGGATCTGTACAAAAAGAGGCCCTTCACAAATCTATTCCTGCCAGAACAGTCCGGCATAAAATAAGAGCGATAGCACATGAAGATGCTGAAAGGCTGAAATGAATCAAAGATTGCGAGTATCGTAAAGGCTTCATGTGACACAACAGGATCAGGGAGGAAATAGAGGGTTTTGTCCACCTCCGCTGGGTTTCCTCTCATTTTCTTGGTAAGAACTGCATAAAAAGCCCCAGAGGAGCTCCTAAGGGCTGTGCTGTAATGTTTGCACCAATGCCAACTTTGCACTGCGCTGGAGAGCTCAGACCCTCTCTGACACTCAGTACTTAATGCTGAGCATAACATAATTGTTTCTATAAAGGCCTTTGTGGCTGTCACAGAGGCGCAGTAAATGCAGGGATCCAGCAGCTGCTGACATGTTCTCTGCAAATAACATGCCCAGGTCTTGTAGTGCGGGTGCCTTTAATCGCTGTTTAACTGTTTGAACATCAGCATCGCTGGAGATTTTTATGGTCTGTTTAAAAAGCACAATGATTCCCTTCATGGGGAAGTTTGTAGCTACAATTACCCTTCTGTTGCAACCTGTCAGGAGTAATTGAAAGTCTTTCCCAGCCAGCAGGCTGGGGCATCCTGCTTGCCTTTTGCTCTCTCTGGCAAAAAGCACAGTACCAGCAGCTGGAGCATCCATGGCAGGTGCTGGTGGAAGCAGTGCAGGCAGTTTCAGGTTGAACATAGCACTGCCAGTGTGAAAGGATGAGAAAGGATGCTGAAAGAGGTGGCAGCCCGGCTTCAGCTCAGTTTATTCAGCTAGTAGCTGTAGCTGCTATTCTTTCTGCTTCTCACCCTCTCTCTGTACGTGTCAGTCACAGGTGTTCAATGGCCCTAATGAAAATTGCACGTAGGGATAAGGTGTGCTGTTACTGTATTAGCTGGTGTGACCCATTCTTTTAGGCTCTCCAGTGAAAGAACTGTCATCTGTGATGGCTTTGTCTGACTGATCTCTCTATCATTTGGTGTAATTACAGGCACCTGTTTTCTGGCAGGATAGCAGGGCGTGGAGAATTTTCAAGCATCCACTTTCAATTGAGCAGCCCCATTACCACAGCAGTGAAAAAAGATTGTCATCTGCACGAAGAAGTCATCGAGGCAGCTGAATAACCCAGGAACGTGTGCAATCAGGCAAGAGGGAAGGCTCTGCCAACGTGCAATCAGCTCTGAGGCTGCACTGCAGACATAGGACAGACAGACTGTGGACTGTCTGACATTGCTAGAACCCTGTGCCTCACGGGAAGGGAAGCTCAGGAATCTGTAGCCAAGAAACAACAACCTGCAATGCAGGCCAGTAAGCAGCCATGCTCCTTTTTCAGCCTGTGAGCTAGGAAGAGGCAATGACATCACCCAGGAGCAAAAGCAGTGATTTGAAACTGTTTGCTCTTCTTGTGACGCACTGGAACAGGTTGCCCAAGGAGGCTGTGGATGCCCCATCCCTGCAGGCATTCAAGGCCAGGCTGGATGTGGCTCTGGGCAGCCTGGGCTGCTGGTTGGTGACCCTGCACACAGCAGGGGGTTGGAACTGGATGAGCATTTTCAACCCAGGCCGTTCTATGATTCTTAACTGCCAGGCAGTGGAGAGCAAGGTTGCGAACCATGCAAAATTTGAAACAGTTTCCCTTGTAGGGCATTTTTTCCAAGTATGGGCCGTGCAAGACTGCCACAAGCAAACAGGTGTCCATCACCACATCCTGCAGCTCTCAATTTGGTAGGTTGAGCACAGCACAAAGTGCAAAACAGCAGCACCCATTTGGAGATGCCCAACCCACATGTAGAAAGCTAATGATGGTAAAGCTGTCAAACAATTCCAGCCAAACCCAAGGGGACCCAGTAAGGAAAAAACACAGAAGAAAGTAAATGAGGCTCCAGGGAAATTAAGCCAAAGTGGAAGTCCTGGCAGAGTAGGGTAATAATTTCCTTTCTGAATGAGTAACTGTTTAGAATTTAACCAGGCGAACACGATTAAACCAAATGAATATAAATTCTAGGTGCGGTAGTAAGTAATGAACTGAAGAAAATGAACAGGGTCTAATTAACAAGAAAATAGGATATGCCATAATGCATTGAAATCTAATGAAAAATGAAAGTAGAACTTCCCCTTTTGGTATTTTTTTTTCCAGATGGAAAATATCCTTGTTTTACATCTAGCATATTCTAAAATATTCAAGGGATTACAGTTGCTGAGAACTATACTTACCATACAATCAGACAACATGGGAAAAGGGAGCTATTTTGCAATACACTGGAGAAGTACATTACTTGAAAGATCCTTGTCCAGAACTCTGCTCAAACATAAAACCAGAAGTTTCATCTTCACATTAAAGTGTAATGCAGCTGCTTAAAGAAGGAATACAAAACAGCCTGCCTGGGTTAGCATCATTACAAGAGGCAGTACTTGGGATGGTAGAGGCTATCAGACAGAGTATTGCAGCAATAAAACAGAATGAAGAAATGAAGTGCTCAGTTCTCCAATCAATGCTGTGGGTTTTTTTTTTTTATTTTATTATTAAAAAAAAAAAACACACAACAAACCAACAACTATCCTCCATCCTGGATGCTTGGCTTCACAACAGCTATTTGTAGCCACACTGAAAAGTTCTAAGAAGTTCATCCTACTGCATTGCAGGTGAGCTCTCAAAGTAGTAACCTGTAAAAAGGCTGAGAACATAAGGACAAGACACACAAAGCATCCCATCATAATTTCTCAAACCTGCAAGAATCATGACTCATTCCAAGCTTTCCTGCACGTGGATGCCACCCATTTAGTTAATATAAAAAAATCTGTATCCCAGTTTTTAAACCAGATGTTTGATCAGAACCGTTTGACAATTACTTGAAGGCCATTATATTAGTGTGGAAATGACCTGCTGAACAGCATCATCAATCTTTGTGTTGTAGTCAGCTCAAGTGTGCTCAAGCCACCAGTTGGCAGCTGCTGTCATCAGTGAGGGCACCAGGAGCCTCCCCTACTGCACTGAGCAGCTTCACTGAGTGCACTGCCCACTCCTGAAGCTGCAGCAGGAACTTGCTCATGCAGCTAAGCAACCACTCACGGAACAAGGGCAGGGTCATAGAAGGGCTCAAGGCCCCTCCATCCCCACCTCCTGCTGTGGGCTCATTATCCCCCACCAGCTCAGGCTGCCCGGGGCCCCATCCCACCTGGCCCTGAGTGCCTGCAGGGATGGAGCACCCACAGCTCTCTGGGCAGCAGTGCCAGTGCCTCACTGCCCTGTGAGGAAAAAAATTCTCTCCTTACATCTAACCCAAACCTCTCCTCTTTTAGTTGAAAGCCATTCCTTCCTGCCCTAGCACTATCTGCCTGTGTAAAAAACTCACTCCCCTCCTGCTTAGCAGCTCCTTTGAGGCGCCAGAAGGCCACGACAAGGCCTCTCGATAGCTTCTCCTTCTCCAAGCTAAATAATACTCCTCCCTCAACCTTCCTTCATGAAAAGTGCTTCAGCCCACACCACCAGGCCCCAGCTACCCAGCCCTCGGCGGGACTGTGAGCTCACAACGCGCTGCTCTGCTGCTTCCTGAGAAACAAACGAGCTCGCACCACGCTCCCACAGCCACGCAGCCCTCAGCACGGCCCACAACCCCACATCCACCCCCCCCCCCCCCCCCCCCCCCCCCCCCCCCCCCCCCCCCCCCACCAGCTACTTCCGCCCGACCCGCCGGAAATAGGCGGTGCGCGCACGCGTCCACCACGTGACCTCGCCTTCTTCGGCGCCTGCGCAGGAGCGAGCGGCGGCCCCGTTGAGCGCGGGCGGCTCGGCCGCGGAATGGGGGGAACGGCCGCCGAGGCGGATCGAACGCTGTTCGTGGGGAACCTGGACCCCAAGGTCACCGAGGAGCTGATCTTCGAGCTGTTCCATCAGGTAGGAGCTGCCGCCCGCCGCGCTTTATACTCGGGCGGGCGGGGCGAGGCCGGGCGGGCGGCCTCCCGGCGCCACAGCGGGGCGGGCCCTGGCTGTGTACGGTGGCTGCGGGCGGACAAACTTCCGCTGAGTGCGGAGCTGCGCCCCCGCGTGGGCTCTGCATCTCACGTGCGGCCGCAGACGTCACCTGGGCGGCCCAAAACAAACAGTGGGATCGAGTGCACCCTCAGCACTTTGCTGGTGACACGGAGCTGAGTGGTGCCACTGACACGATGCAAGGAAGGGATGTCATCTAGAGGAATAGCAGAACAGAGTGGTGAGATGCTGACACTGCTGCCCAGAGAGCTGTGGGTGCCCCATTCCTGCAGGCACTCATGGCCAGGTGGGATGGGGCCCTGGGCAGCCTGAGCTGGTGGGGGGCAGCCCTGCCCATGGCTGGGGGTTGGGACCAGATGATCTCCAACCTGAGCTATTCTGTGAGTCAGATGTCACCTGGTGCATTGGTGGGATCTCTCCTGCTGCACCGTTACATGCTGCTTGGTTTAGGTTTTCCTTTCTGGGGAGCTGCTTGATTTGTCTTTCAACATTGCTTTGCTTTATAATTCACAGGCAGGTCCGGTAATTAAAGTTAAGATCCCTAAAGATAAAGATGGTAAACAAAAGCAATTTGCGTTTGTGAGTTTCAAGCATGAAGAATCTGTCCCGTATGGAATGAATCTCCTTAATGGGATCAAGCTGTATGGACGGCCCATCAACATTCAGTTCCGCTCAGGTACGCAGAAGCATTCAGTAACCCTGTTACTAGATGGAAAGAAAACTGCTACCTCCTTCCTTCCCCCAGATCTGGCAGAGTTACAGTTATTGGCTTATACCAGCTGTTGCATGTGCTTCTGTCACAGTGTTGCTCTCCTGCTCCCTGGTGATGCTGCAGAGCAGTGCTGTCACATAGGGTTGTGCTTTTATCCTTGTGCTTTGGCAGGGGCCAGTCTGCCACTTTGGGGCATGGGCAGTGTCCAAGCTGAGGCTTTTCTTTGATTTTGTTTGATTATTTTCTGTACCCTTGAAGGCCCTTCTGAATTATCATGCTAGTGCTAAACTCTGCATCTGACTCCAGTAAAGAGAGGCATGTTGGCCAGACCTTCACAGCCTGGTTGCAGCTTCCCCACCTTTAAGGCGTGCATTAAGGCAGCTTACGGTATCCTGTTTTGGAAGCTGGGTTATGTACTTTTGCAGATTGCTGATGATACTTGAGAGCTAATTAATCCTGTGGAAATAGTTAGCATCTTACAAGTTCGTTTCATATCCAAGTTGCTCCAACCTGTGTTTGCGGATCTCATGTTTCTCCTCAGGGAGCAGCCACGCATCTCAGGACAGTAATTCATCGTGTTTACCACACGGAGCAGCCAGCCTGGGCCCATCTGGCACACCACATCCAGCCAGCAGGTATGAGGCTGCACCAGAAGTACACATGCGTTGTTGAAGCTGGAAAACGTATTCACACGTTTAGCTTTCCTGATTCTCATTGCAAGCACAATTCAGCCTTTCTTCCCTATGGATTAAGACTTGAATTATTGTTACCATCAATACTCTACATTCTTGGTACCTAAAAACCTAATGCAAAGAAGAACAGCATCATCTTGAACGTGTTTTTTTCAGAAGATCTGTTTCATCAGTGCTTCTGGCCCAAGTGACATTTCTTATTAAAAGGTCTTTTCATACAAGCATAGAAAAGATCTTGTGATGTGAAGCAAGTGCTGCCTCATACCCCATGCAAGCCTGTCTGCACTAGTTTCTCACAATGGTAGTGAGTTAACAGTAATGCTTATCTATTTTTCTTATAGCAACATGAGTACACAGCTAATGCCCCTTAGACTGGCCATAGTCTCATGTTAGAAACATTTAAGACTAACTTTCCTAATCTTTTTTTCTGCAGACACGACAGGAATACAGATGGTATGTTACCAGCAGGGTTCTCATCTATGCAGAGGTCTTTGCCATCTCATGACAACCTTCAGAGACAAGCAGGGGTAAGCTGTGCCCTTCTGTTTGTGGTGTCTTAACTCTGCAGTCACTCACAGCTGATGGATGATGACATGCAAAGGAGTTGTTGCCGATTTTCAGTACTTAGATGTTTCCTATAATTATTGTATCAAATCACAGGAACACATTTTTGGAGTGTTCAACTGACAATTGCAGAAGATAGATGGTTCCTTCTACTGAGCGTTTTAACGCTGAGGCAGTCTTTGGGCTTTACAAGTTGAGCTGTACATAAAGCAATCAGTAGCAGCCAGTCTGTGTTCAGTCTCCTTTTGTTGGTGCATTTCCATTTTCCTTTGCATTTGCAGCTTGATTAATGTCAAACTTAGAGGCTGACAGAGGAGTATGAAATGTGCCATAGAATAATTTGAGCACTCTGCCAGCAGGAAAGAGCATATTGAATCTACCAGGCCTTTTTCCTTCTGTTTTTCAGATGCACGGTGCTGTGTGGCAACAGTCTCAGCCTGGCTTTGCTGTGCCTGGGTACCAGCATGGCCACTCCCTTGGTCACCCATCAGCCTTCCACATGCTGCGGCGTCCGGACATTGCAGTGCTGCGCAAAAGCAGGATGGGCTCCCACCCCTACTACCCAGACAGCAGGCATTTGGGCCGAGAACAGCGTGCAGGGGACCGGGGGCCTGATTATGGCAGGGGTAAAAGGGATGGCTATGAAGACAGAGGGCACATCTCTGAGCACCATTACCGGGGGAGCAGAGATGAGCCGTTCTACGACGATAGGAATCGCAGCGCATGGAGCCACGATTACGACAGCAGGAGGGAGAACTACAGAGAGGGCAGCTGGCGCTTGACGCGACACTGATACGTGCAGTGGGCTTTAAAGAACTTATGCAAAAGAAAGATAAATCAAAGTTCCCTTTTAATGTTTGTAAATCTAGTGACGTCGTAAATCCTCCAAACCTAGCAGCTTGATTTTAAACGTGTGAACTCTACACCTCAGGGCTTTATGCGAGAAAACAAATGTGCCACGGTTTCAGAGAAAGCATCGTGTATTATAAAGAGTCTGTATTTTTGTAGTGCAGCTGAGGGAGGCACTCTCTGTTCCAGGTGTAGCTGCACATCTTTTTAAACAGATTTTAAGTGGTATGATGCTTTGTGGCATCTCAAGCGTGTTTTGATACAGAAATGATTCCTTTTGTATACCCCTCGTCTCGGAGAAGAATCCTACTAAGTCTCCCTGTGGATAAACCAAACTCCTTTTAACGCTGTGTCAGTCTGCTTTCGTTCAAACTCACCCGCGTTTTATCCTTTGAGGGTGTAATTCCTTGACGAAAAGCCCCCGCGGTGGCTGGGAAGCGGAGCCGGGTTGGTTTAACTGCAGCCACGCAGGAACCAGCTGCATCCTCACGCAGTTCTCTAAGGATAGAAGCAAACGAGATTTTAAGCCGGCCCTTAACGTCCTCGCCGTGCCCCGAGGGCGGTTCCACGTCGCGCCCCGCCCGCCGCTCCCGGCGCTCCCCGCGGCCCGAACTACACCTCCCAGCAGCCCCCGCGCTCTCCCCCCGCTCTCGCCCTGGGGCCGCCGCCGCGGGGCATGCCGGGAAATGTAGTGCGGCGGCGGCGCTTTGCGGCCTGGCCGCGATGCTCGGCGGCAGCCGCGGTGGCCTCGGTCGCCTGCGGAGCTGCGCCGGGCGGCTGTGGCGGGGCCGGCGGCTGGCGGCGGCCATGGCCGGAGGCGGCGGCATGGGGCAGCGAATGGTCTGGGTGGACCTGGAGGTGCGGGGTGTGCCGGGGTACGGGGTGGAGGGGTCGAGGGGAGGGCGGCGGGGCGGCCCGCGGACGGGGGGGAGGCCGCGATGACGGTGCCGCTCCGCTGTGTGGCAGATGACGGGCCTGGATGTGGAGAAGGACCAGATCCTGGAGATGGCCTGCCTCATCACCGACTCCGACCTCAACGTGCTGGCCGAGGTGAGCGCGGCCGGGTCCGGGGAGCCTCAGCACCCCCAGGGCGGCGATCCTCGGGATGGGGTCCGCTGACCGTCGCCGTTTTCCTCCCCGCAGGGCCCCAATCTGATCATCAAACAGCCCGACGAGCTGCTGGACGGCATGTCCGAGTGGTGCAAGGAGCACCACGGCAAGGTACGGCCCGGAGAACGGCGCAGGTCGGAGTTACGGCTCGCAGTGATCTCAGCTGCAAAGGAATGAGAGCTGTTCTGAGCCCGAGGGCCGTGCTGTAAGGCTGTTCCCGCAGTCCCACGTGTCATCCAGGGCAACCTGCAGCCCGTCTTTGTGTGTCTGTAACACTGGGGCTGCGCGGTTGTGGGGTTGGTATCCGGGCTTATTGCTAAAGAAGGGGACGGGCTCTCTGACAGGGTGTGTTGTGGCGGGACAAAAGGAAATGGTTTCTAATTTGAAGGAGGGGAGATTTAGGTTGGAGATGAGGAAGAAGGTTTGGCACTGAGGGCGGTGAGGCACTGGCACAGGTTGCCCAGAGGGGCGGTGGTGCCCCGTCCCTGCAGACAGCCAAGGTCAGGCTGGAGGGGCTGTGAGCACTGCTGGAGCTGTGGGTGTCCCTGTGCACTGCAGGAAGGCACCAGGCGGCCTTTGAGCTCCCTTCCAACCCCAATCATCCTACAATTATAAGTCTGAATAGTGCTGAAAGCTGCTTTCTAACTTGAGAATCATCAGCAAAGGGCAACAGGCAGCGAATGGATCCGGGAGAGGGACAGAGCAACAGCACACAGGAAGTTGCCGACAGGGTGAGATAAACCTGGATGGCTCTATGAATAGGATCCAGCACTCTGATACCCGTTGCTAATTGCCACATTCAAAGCATTGTGCCCCTCAGCATGAGATTAAGAAGTTGGATTCAGTTCCCTGGAACTCCTCAGCCAGCCCCTCCTGTCTGCATGGCATGAAATAAGCACAGAACAGCTCTTAAAGAGAAGAGCAAGACCTGCTGTAAAGCCCCAGCTAACAGTAGCTACAAAGTTGGCAAAGAATAGTCCAGAGTTGGCAAAAAGCAAACTTATCAGTGAAAATTAAGGCACTTGCAGAACTAAACAGACTGATTTACTGCATTTTTGCCTGTCCCCCTCAGCATTGCAAACCTAGTTTTTTTTTTGGTTTTTTTTTTCCACTGAAAACTTAACTTTTGCAAGAATAGATTATTTTTTAGTTCTTTTAGTCACCAAGGAAAACTTCCTCCTTGCCTTTAGCAAGAAAGTGAATGGATTTTCAAATCCTTGATTACAAATTTAAATTCAAGGCAGTTTTCAATTAAGTGCTGAAGTTTTAAGACACTCACAACCCCTCCCTCCTCCCCCCTTTAGCATCTTACTCTCCCTAGGAAGGATTAGCAAGGGTTTGGAAAATGAATATTAATTTACTGTGATGGGAGCTTTTCCCCTTCTGCAGTTGAGGACAGAAACTCAACTTCAGCTCACAAGTGAATTGAAGATGGTAGCGTACGTTATCGCTGCTCCTGAGGAGCTACTTATTTTTAATTGACTAAGAAAAGAGAAGCAATTAGAATATAGATGAAAATGCAGCCACATAATGAATTTTTTAACCACCACTTGGATCTGTCAAGTAGATTTTTGCGGCACAGTCACGGAAATATATAGCATAGCCAGATGGAAATAAATCACTGAGAACACTTAGAGCAGATTTGACATTTAACTATTGGAAAAAAAAAAAGAAGAAGAAGCAAGGAGCTTTTCTGATTTATAGGAATCTTGATAAACACTTAAGCCAGGATTCTGATTATTTCTGTTTATTTATACATACTACTCTATGCTGGGAAGGCGAATGCCTCTCGTTAGACAGAAATATAATACTCTCCTGGATCATGTACATGCAGGTGTGTAAATGAGGCTTGCATAATGGCTCAGTAATTGAGAGTAACACCCCAGAAAGTTCAGCAACAGAGAGGAAACTCAGAGGAATGTCACTGTCGTTAGAAATGTTCGGTGGTCACCTTCACTTGTGATGGTTTGCACGTCTTGAAGAGGTGCCCTAAAGATATCCAGAGTGAACAAAGGCAATTGGATCTGCCAGGATATTATCAAACACGAAGTGAATTTGTTCTCTTACCTCATCCGGGCGTGCTGGGGAGCAAGCAGTGCATGTCTGCCTGATCTTTTGCTGCTGAGCATTTCTAGAAATATCTTTGAAGATAATGTCTATCTCGTTTCTGACGGATGGCTCTTTCTTGCAGTCTGGCCTTACTAAGGCTGTGAAGGAGAGTAAAATTTCATTGCAGCAGGCGGAGTATGAGTTTCTGTCCTTTGTACGACAACAGACACCCCCTGGTCTCTGTCCTCTTGCAGGTAAAATGGGTTCTTTCTTAATAATAGTAATAATGTCATCCCTCCTGCAGTTCCCAGCTGGATGCTGAAAGGCTGGTTGATGCACATGGCAGGGATGCTTTAGTTTTTTGTGCAGAGATCTAGCATGCAAATCAAAATCTGCAAGTGGAGAAAGGTTTAGTAATGGCATCATCTATTCCATTGATTCCCTAAAGCAGGTATCGCACGTCGTTGCCTCAGGAAGCTGAAAGTTCTTTTGAGCATTAATGATTCATTGTACAGTTATAATTGGGAAGGGCAACTTAACGGCTGATAGCAATCGGTGACTGTAAAAATCTGAACTGTAAACTGAACAGCATCTTTCCTTCAAACAGAGCATCAAACATGAACCTTCCAATTGTCCTATTACCTGGCACTGCGCTCGGGACATTTACATACGGCCTTGGGATTATGGCTAAGTGAAATTAATACCGATGCCTCTTTGCACTCGGTGGAAAACCCGATTCTTGTGTAATGCTTTGATACTTATCTGTGCGACAGAAATTGTAGTAACTGAAGAATTAATATAGGGATTATGTATTTAAACCATGTGTGATCCTGAAATGAGAATCTGACAAACCTTTACAATCATATTTGCTAGAAAATGAGATATATGAGCTGCTTGTGAATAGCTTTTCATACCCTATGATCTTTCCCAAGCTTGCTCAGCCTGTTTCTAGTTTAGATGCTCATAGTAGCTTTGCAATGCCTTTGAAGAAATGTCTTGTTCTGTGTCTTTGTAGGTAACTCTGTTCATGCAGATAAGAAGTTTCTTGACAAGTACATGCCTCAGTTCATGCGGCATCTTCATTACAGGATCATTGATGTGAGCACCGTCAAAGAACTTTGCAGGTAAATATTCTCCAAATTGAATATCTCTATAAAAGATAATCTAGGGAAGCCTGTTACGTGGCACTGACATGCACCTTTTTAAAACAAGGCTGAAGGCTGCTGGCAGACAGCTGTGCACGGCCATCTCGTTCTTTCATATCTTCCTCTCTTCTGTTCAGGCTGAAGGACAGAACGAGCCATAAAGAACTGAGAGAGCGGTGTCCTCTGGCGTTTGTAGCACTTGGGTTCACAGGATTGTGCCTTCTCTGTGTGCCAGTTTAACTGAACTTCTTTCACCGATTGTAACAAACCCAAAGCAGCCACTGGGCATGTTACTGAATCCCAGTTTCCTTTTAAAATGGGGTTTCTTTCCACTTACAGACGCTGGTATCCAGAAGAATATGAATTTGCACCAAAGAAAGCAGCTTCTCACAGGTGAGGTTCCTACTTTTATCTCTAACAAAGCACAGCTTGTCATGCAGGAACCATGCGCCTCATGGGCAGAATGTGGAGCTGTGTGCTTCCTTTGATTTCCAGTCATGTTTGTTCTAATGAAAAAGACAGCAGAGGTGGTACGACTGTGCACCCTGTCACATAGTTTGTATTCTCCAGCCAAAAGCTTGGGTAGCGTAAGGAAAGGAATTACAAAAATACAGGGAATCAAAAACGTCCTTATCTGTTCTCATTCCATGTGTTTACTATTCAAGCCACAATGCTTGTTTGGCAATGTAGATACATCTATC